AAAAGTTGTCTCTCTTTTAAAAATAGACACTTTCTCTGCACGGCATCAGTACAGGAAAAAAGTTTCGCATTTTTTGAAGGTGTTTCGGGAATGTTTCAACGTGTCTGACAGATTCAGGTTGAGTGTTTTTGTTTCTTTAGAGGACGTTAACTTCTAGCTAATTTTTTATTGATCAAAAGAAAAAGAAATATTTTTCTTTATATTTTAGTTTATTCATTCATTCATTCTGTCCGTACTCCTACGTGGAGCATAGAGCTTCAATAAACGCTCTCCAGTGGTTTTGGTTGTTGGCAATTGATTTTACATCTCGCCATGATCGGTTTTTTTCGCTTTAATAAATTAATTATCCTTGCCATGTATGTCTTGGACGACCAGTTTTTCTATTGCCTTGTAGCTTCCACTCAATAGCTCTGCCAGCAATGTTGTTGCAATGGCACCAACATTGCTGGTTGAACGAAACGGCTTTTTTCCGATACCTTTTGATAGAGAGTTATCCCGTGGTCTAAAAGGAATTTTTAGAATGTCAATTATAAACTTGTAATCAGTGCTAATAATAAATTACAACAGTTATTAGGTAATTCAAAGGATAAAATACCTCCACTGGAAAGGTCGGGTATTTATGAAATTTCTGTAAAAAGATTGTAATCAGAATATGTTGGGCAAACTAGAAGATCAATATTACTAGATTTAAAGAACATTTAGCTCAGATAAGATATGGTAGACCGGATAAATCTTCGTTGCCCAACATATTGTTAATAAAGGACATTGTAATAGATCTGATTAATTAAAAATTAATTAAACAAGTCTCAAATTACCAGAGCAATTAATGCATAGAAAGCATCAGAATTAATAAATGTCAAGATAGTATGAACAGAGACAACGGTCCAATTCCTTCAAGTTCTTGTTCCTACTACTCTAGTGGCGGGAAATCTAATTGTTACGCTCAGTGGGCTCTGACTCGGTTGGCTAGATTTTGCCACGCCCACTCGGTGCCCACTGAGCGAGTATATAAACGCTCAAACTTGTAGATTGTACTTTAGTTTATAATCATCTGCTGATTAGAATTAGAATTTTATAATTCTAAAATTCTAAAAAAAAAAATCTGCTGATGATGCTAACATGGTTAGCGAAACGCGCGTCCAGTGTAAAAGTAAAAGTGTTGGTGTAAAATAGAATTGGTGTATTGTGGTGATTTAGTGTTTTTATTTTGCAGATTTCATCCACAAAGTCAAATTCCTCAAACGGCAATGGGCAGAACACACGGATAACAGATGAATCACAAAAATATCAGCATGGTACCCATCACTATGAATTAAGAGACCTAGAAGAAGACCGAACCTGAGTTTATCCTTTCAATCAGATGTACCTACTATCGCCCTAATAGATACTACTAAAACGTTTTAAAAGATCAAAAGTTAAAAATGCATAGACGTAAACGTTCACATGAAAATTTGTTTTCCTAGCTTTCAGTACGTAAGATTGTTTATCATTTATCAATCACCACTGTCGATGCAGTTTTAAATAGTCTACATAGAGAAACAATAAAGACGTAGGTATAGACGTAGTAATCATATGACTTGCCCATTTACTATTTAGATTCCTACAGTCGGATAGCTTCTAGTAAAAAATTGGCTATTTTTGTTATAGCAGTGTTCTTAAATTAGATTTATATTGAGTGTAAACTTTAAATAGAAAGATTAAGGTAGGAATATAACAACAAACATAGTTGGAGTGCGATGGGAGACTAATATGGCTGCCTTAGTTTCCGGTTTATCAGTGCTCTTCTAATTTTATTTAAAACGGATTAGATAATAATATAAGGCATAGTCTCAATAATTTGTCTGTTTTGTTTTAACGTTGTCAAATAAATTTATTAGTTATTAAAATTGTTAAAAAATAGTATATTTGTTATAAAAATAGATAAGGTTATACATAATGATACGGCAATACAAAATGATACGGCAGATGATACGGCAATACTAGCACCAACTTTAGAGGATCTCCAGCAAATAATAAATAAAATAGGGGACATGAGAAATCGTTTCGGTCTTAAAATCAACACTGCAAAGACCAAACTTATGGTAATAGGACGCCAGCCTACAATCAACACCGCATTGTCCGTGGATGGAAATATTATAGAGCGAGTTCCACGATTTAAACATCTGGGTGCCATTATCAATGAACGATGGGACTGCGATGAGGAAGTTAAACTTAGAACAAATTATGCAAAGTCAACATTTTTTAACTTTAAAAACTTCCTATTAGCACGCAGTCTCCCGCTAACACTTAGACTAGGGGTAGTAAAATGCTACAAACCCCCCATCTTACTATACGGCACAGAGACCTGGTCTCTCAAGGCTAAAACCCTGAACCGCATCCGGGGAGGGGGCTTTGGAAATGTGGACTCTCCGGAGACTCTTTCGTGTGCCATGGACCGCACATGCCACCAACGAAGAAGTTTTAAGAACTGCAGTCTATGAACGAGAAATGCTTAATATAGTTAAAGAAAGGAAAGTCTCATTCCTCGGCCATATCCTTAGAGGAGACCAAACATTTACATTCCTAAGCTGATTCTACAATGAAAAATAGAGGGACGGCGAGGCCCAGGAAGAAAACAACATTCCTGGCTAAGAAACGTACGGGATTGGTGTAACATCAGCGACGCAGCCACCACATTTCGAAGAGCCGAAAACGGCACTCTACACATTGTATGAAGAGTACAGACAATCGCCAACGAAGAGACTTGTTTAACGTAAAAAACGTACTCTTCAAAACAGTTAAAAAATCTATAGGAGGCGCCCCATACAAGTAGAAGTCTTATTGACATCGAAATCCAAATTCATCATGTCAAAAACCACCCAGACACAAATTTTCATCCAAATATCGAGGTTAGTTCAAAAATTATTTGAAAAAATCGACATTAAAAAAATAAATTTATACGAACTTTTATACTCATTTTTATCTGCAGAATATGCTGCCGAAGCTTCTCTAATACAATTGGGACCACCCTGTATAAATTACTTTTACCTCTATTATAGTGTAGTTCATTTTACACTTTGGTTAAAACAAACATAAAAGTATTCTACACCATGGTACAAAGAATACAAGGTATGATCGATAGTGGCTCCAATTTCGTTCAGTTCGCGCATACCACCTGTGACGTCACTAGGAAAATGAGGAATAAATAAAAAATAAAGAAAGTTGACAGGAGATCAGCATTTTTGGGGTTATGGTCTAAGAATTGTTTATTTGTTAAGACTTTTTATTCGTGTAATTTAATAATTAACTAAAACAGGCAGTTCCAAAAAATATTATTTAAAAATAATAATTATCTATTAACATGGGATTTGGACTTTGGACCATAATGGGTAAGAATACTAAATTTTTATTTCTATATTCGTACCTATAAAATTGTTTATTTAGGTTTTTAGTTTGCAATGTTTATGGTAAATAATTTTCATGTTCATTGCCTCTGATTTCACATAAGGACAGAGATGAGGATATTTATGGAAAAGTAACCACAAGAGGATTTGTTACATCATTTAAAATGTTGGAATTTATTGTTTCCCAATCGAAAAGGTAGAAAATGCCAGTGCAGATGAATGTATTGTAATTGTGATAGATGTAATTCCAAGGGTGAAGTTTTATTATAATTAGTGGAAGTAAATTCCAAGGTTGTGAAGTTTATTATAATTAGTGACCTGTTGCTTCTTTTTATTAATGTGATTTTCAGGTTCTTGAGATATAAAAATCGGTTTTGAATAAAACCCACAAATTCTAGGAAGTATTTGCATTACCCAGAATATGCCCATCAAGGATTATATAGCTCAAAGTTCCTTTAATGGTAGGCAATTATTCAATGCAAATTAACTTTTTAAGTGACTGAAATATTAAATAGTTACAATTATGGTATATCTATTAAAAATTGATATTACTTTTAGTAACAATTAGGGCCCGATACATTTCAAAAGTAGTGGAATATTATTTATATTAAACTGAGGTATTGTACCAACAATCAATTATATTAATACGGAGATTAAAAAATAACAGAATAAATAGTTCTTTTTTTTTATACTACAAAAATAAAAAAAAAAAAAAAAAAAAAAAAAAAAAAAAAAAAAAAATAGAATAAAAAAGTATTGTCCCGGCCGAGATTCGAACTCCGGTCTCTTCGCTTCCTAGCCCGACTCCTTACGCACTACTCCACAGTAACTTGCTTACCGATAATTCAATGACGGTATATAAACAAAAAAACAGGTTTATAACAATATCTTGACGATTTGAACTGGCGCGCGGAGCGTGCTGACCAATAGCGCCTGTTATCACCTGTGACGTAGCTACCAACCTGCGCAATATCATACCTTGTATTCTTTGTACCATGTTCTACACCATGTCTCCGGATTATCTTTACAAGAAGAAATACTTTTTTATTATTGACATTTTGAAAAAAATACGTTCTTCATAAAAATGTTTGCTTATTCTAAAATAGCTAATCCCGTTTATACTTTTCCAAATTTCATAAAAAGTTTTAGAGAAAAATTAAAAAAACAAGAAAATATAGTTGAATTTTTTGTCCTAAAAATCAAAAGCCAGTAATATAATTTCGATTATATTATTTGATAATGGTTTGATTAATTTTTGATAATGTCATATTTTTTTTGCTTAAAAAACAAAAAAAAAGTAGTAAAGTAACACATCCTCCGATAACTATTATCACCCTTTCCATAGCACTGAACTTATTAAATGTTGTAGTTCTTTAACATTTTACAACAGCAAAGATATGACATTAATTAAGTTTCTATCAATAACAATCTGGCAAAGAAATAATATTTTCATGTTTTTTTTTTTAGTTTTCTTTAAAAAAAAAAAAAACGGTATGGAAATTTTGTGCAAAAATTCCTCAAAATGCAATAAAAAAAGCTTTCCTCTTGTAAAGACAATCCTGGGACCTATAGTATATCTAAAACAAACAACAAGCATTTTAAAAAACAGTTACTAACCCTTATTTTTCGCTCTTCCCGAATCAAATCCAGAATCATTACTCGACGTACTAGCTCCCACTTTACTTTCACCTCCAACATCTCCCTCTTCTTCTTCTTCACCGTCTTCTTCGTCAACATCGTCATCATCCTCATCACTACCATCACTAGAACTGTCATCATCATCACTGGTCGTACTACCCTCACTATTACTTTCGACGTTTTGCTGTTGCCAGCGACGCGGTATATGACGCGCGCGAATAAACTTAGGCTTTGCGTACAGTTCCAAAGAACCATCCTCGTTTTGATCGGGTTTTTTAAAGGGATGCATCCACTGGGAGAGTCTGTTTGACTTTAGAGGAACAAAGGAAGGTTCTGGGGAAGGTTCTTTTTCTGGTTCGGGTGGTGGAGGGGTTGGTGGTTCGAAAACTTTCAAGTCTGGATCAGATTTGTTGGCTTTTTCTATTAAGGAACGTTTGGACATGATTCTCATCTGACGTTCTTCTGGAGTTTCTGGCTGGTTCTCCTGAAGTTCCTCGATGATTTCTCTTGGATCTTTCAAGCCCAAGTTTAGTTTAGCCAGTTTCGGTGGTTCATAAGGTTCATTATCTCGACTATTCCAGATATTTTCAGGTTCTTCTTTACTAACAACATTCTCATTTTCGTCCTTCTTAACTACATCATCCTTTTTTATTTCTTTTTGCTCTTCTAATTTTTTACTTTTCAAACTAGATTGTTTTGGTGGTGAATCTTCAGTGGTGTTTTTCTTAAACCTTTGAGCTAAAGCTGATACATTCCTCTTGGGACCTAGATCAGATTTAGATAGAAAGGTGTTTTCTTTTAAATCACTTTTAGCACTTTTTAAAAGAGATTCCGTTTTAGTTTTAGGAGAAGGGTCTTTTTGGTCTAGATTTTTTTCTATCGACACAATTTTTAACTTTCCGCTGCTCGTTCTGCTGCTACCATCAGCAACACTGTTATCACTCTTTGATTTGTTAACTAAAACCGTAAAAGTACTGCACATATTTTCGTTGCTACCCGATTTCTGTGCAGTATTGTCTTCCTTTGTTCTAACTTGCACCTCTGACAAGCTTTTCAGTAATTTTTGTTTCATTTCAGTATCATCTACAGGAGGAGGTTCTTTTTTCTTAAAGATTTTACCGTCGCCAGCAACATTACCAACCTGTTTATCTTCTTTTTTCTTTAAAATACTTGTAACTACAGGTGTTTTAGGAGTAGATAATTGAACAACACCAAAGTCACTGTCTTTTAAGTTACATTTAGGCACAGTAATCTTCTTTTTAACCGGAAACTCCTGGACAGTAACGTTAAATCTAAATTTCTTCTCTTTTTTGGCAGGTTTGGGACTTTCCTGTATCTCGTAGTCCTCGACAACCAGTTTCAAGTTGTTGGTGGTCTTCTCCTCGATGTCTCCTACAGAACCAGTTATAACCGGTTTTTGTTTGACCGGTATCATCTCTATTTCGACCTGCGATATGTCTTTAATCATATTTTGCAAAGAACTGTCCTTTCTCAATCTTGAAACTGGTTTTGTTTGATGTCTCAGGAATGCTTATTTCACTCGATGATTTTTTCAAAGATTGTCTACTAGCTATCGATCGGGATTTAACTGATATATCTTCCTCTGTACCACTTTCTTCTTTTTTTCAGTCTTTTTAATAAGGTCATCAGTCTTTTTTCTGGTCACTTTCTTCTTCTTGACACCTTTAACTTTCTCTTCAATCACCGGAGGAGAATTATACAGTCCCACTTCATTTTCTGCCTGGAGAAGTGCGTCAAGTAACTCCACTTCTTCAACACTTAGAGTTGAGGAACTTCTTTTGATTTCATTGATTAAATCGTCATGAGACAGTTGCCTGCTTTGTCGTCTTCTGATATTAATGGGTTGCCCAGGATTTAAATCGTCTGTTACCTCGTTTGAAGTGATTTCATCGCAAATATCTTTGAAACTAGGGCTCTTCCTTACGGAGTTTCTTCTGTTTAGTTTTGGTGGGGTTAGATTTGAGATATTATCTTTGCTTTTGCTTCTGATTAAGAATTTTTCTTTTAAGATTTCACCTGGTGATTTTCTTTTGACTTTAGCTTCAGTTACGAGTTCCTCAGGTTTAAAGTTATCCCTCCAGCTTCTTATAGCTCCTATTTCTTTCTCTAAAGCATCTTTATGGATTGTTTGGAGCCTGATGGTAGCCCTATCACGTTTGATGTTAGTATTAGGTTTAGCTTCTTTCTCTTCACTTACTATTTCTTTTTTCGGGCTTGGAGACTTTTTTTCTGGTTCCTTGTAGTTCCGGTACTTGTTCACTGAGACATCTATATCAGCTGTGTTGATCTTTATCGGTCTTTGAACTCTAACTTTCGGAGAACTGTGATAGATGACTTTAGGCGAACTGATTCTCCTCAAAGGTGCGATATTAGCCTCGCTGATGGTGGTGAGGTGAGGTTTGTAGCCTCTGAAGTTGGTGCGGTGGAGTTGTTTGGAGAAAGGAAGTATGTTCGATGCGATTATAGAGGAGTGATTGGAGTAAGGTCCTTTGAACAGAGGCGCTGTGTAAGTACTGCTCGGCGTGTAGATTCCCAGTTCAGAATAGTAAGGCATTTTGGGGGCGTTGCCAATCAATCGAAATACTAAAGGTGAGAAACACTTGTTTTATGGCGGGTGGGGATTATTTTCGACGGTGATCACTGTTTGGAGGATTTTGCGTATTAAACACTGGACGACGAATTAATTGTAGGAATGTTCATCACTTAAAAATATCGATATTTTGTATATCTGTTTTTTATATAAGAGAAAATTATTTTTTATAACTTGCTAATAAAGATATTAATATATTTCGATAATATTGTCTATTATACAGAGTATTCCAGTATCTCTTTTCCAATGAAATGCCTCAAATGCAATTAAAGCAAGAAATTTGCGTTTTTTAATGTAGCATATACAAGGTCTTTACAAAACCCGTTGTTTAAGAACTACTTTAGATATAATTATAAATATTTTAGATTGAATATACAGGGTCCGGCGATAGTGCGTCGGGCATCTGTAACTCCTATAATAAAAAACTCAGAAATTCTGTTTAAGTGTAGACCTAAAATATGTATTAGGATGTATCTCAGGAAAACATTTTAACTTCTACAGGGTGGCTCAAAAAAGTGTGAGTGGATCGCGTTGATTTTTTTCAAATAGAACACCCTGTATATTATTGCATTTTTAACTTCCTTTCTGGTCACTTTACCGGATCCTATAATATTTTTAAATACGTTTTGAGAGTTTCAAAGATATTAATAAATAAATAAAAAATTGTTTTTTTTTTCAAAAAATTATTAAAAATACAACAAATGTCCTGAAATTAAAACTATACTAGGTATTTGCTATATTTTGGGAAACTTGGGAAATTATTGCTGGCGACAAATAATAACTAATAATGAAAAAAAATGTTAGTAAAATATTTTTAGATTCTGAAATAATTTGAGTTTTTTTTCACAAAAACTTTAATCAACTTTATCAGTAAATGCACATTCGATTTAATCAAATTTACGTTTTTTGTTTTTATTTCAAATAGTTTGTTATCTCCGTAAATAAAAATATTTTACTAACTTTTTTTTTAATTATTAGTCATTATCTGTCATCAGCAATAATTTCCCAAGTTTATGCGTATAGGTTAAAAATCACACTGTATATGGCTCTTTGAACGGTAAAATATCAGACAAAAATCATTGGGTGGTAAATTAAAAAAAAAACAAAGAAACACTATTTTATATTTTAGAAAGTTTGGCATAGAATTTTGAACACCCTGTATGGTTTAAGATTACGATATTTATAAGAAAGTAAGTACAGACCAACTATAGTAAATAACTAGTATATTTTTGTTTTCAGGACATTTCTTGTATTTTTAATATTTAAAAAAAAAGCTAATTTTTTTATTTATTTATTAATATCTGCAAAATTATCAAAACATATTATTTTAAGATTATGTAAAGTGTTCAGAAATGAAGCCAGAAATGCAATAATATACAGAGTGTTCCATTTAAAAAAATCATCCGGATCCACTCACACTTTTTTGAGCCACCCTGTAGAAGTTAAAATATTTTCCTAAAATACATACTTTAGGACCTCCCTTAAACAAAATTCCTAAGTTTTTTATTATAATCTGCCCTGTGTTGATATACTTAGTCATTAGTAATCAATATAACTCTAAAAGTATCGATAACTCTTTCAATACATCGATATAATTCGAACATTCCTAATTAATTGAAACAAATCGACAAACAGGTGTCTCTAACGGTAGAAATAGTGCCAAGCGTCAAGAAATCTTCCAACATTATTTGGTTAAAGTATTTTTAGACCAATTAAAGTTATTTCTTTTATACTTTCGAACAACAATCACCGAATATCGAACAATAACAAAGGTAGATAGTTGTTTATCGAAGTTTTAATGCGTTCAGAGCGAGCCAAAAAACTTTTTGAAAGCTTATTTTTCAGGAGCACGGTAATTGTTTGATAACATGCGATTTCTAAATTTAGCGCTTTTGGTATTTTTGACGTAAATTACTTTTGGATGACTCGAACCGAACATCGCTTTTTTTTCTTGTAGTAGAATTATTGTCGTAAAAGCGTTAAAGCTTAAGGTCTGTTCACATGTGTCAGACACGTCTCATATTAGATGCTGCAAAACCACAAGAATAAGCAGCCTTTAGAAGCGGCTTTTCAGCGGAATGGATCACATATTACCTATATATGTTACGGAAATTCAGTAATTGTTAACATTCACTAGGTAATGCTAGCAATTACGCACTGAACCAGTGAATGTGTTATTTTAAAGAGATATACAAAGAATTCAAAGCTAGAAAAATGATATATAAAACAACCCCAGAATTTACAACTGGCAAAAGAATACTATCCCCAAAGCTGTTTTCAGCAACTCTCGGTGACAGTGTCGGACGTGTGTGTTCATCTTCATTATAATTAAACTCAACGATATATTTTTTGTTGTAACTGAGACTGTTTAACGGGTCGGTAGTGAGACCCGACTGACATATGTGAACAGGCCTTTACAGAGAAATTCACCAAAGGATTTACATTTATTTTCAGATATTTTAAGCCGTTGTTTTGTCTCTGCTAATTTATTGCTACAATATTTTAAGATTTTCGTTGAAATGTTGACGATTTTACGGGCATACATTGTGCTAACCTTACCTAACTAAAATATCGTCAGGAAATTGAAAATATATACAGTGTGGTTTAAAACAAGTGCGAAAAACTTTAAGTGGTGGTTTCTTGCTAAAAATGAGGGTTGTTTTGATATAACAATTTACAGAATTTTGAAATCTATTTTGAAACAATCTGTTTAGTTTTTATATTAGGTACATTTTCAATTTATTTTGGAAATATAAATGTTCATTCTTAAAACCACCTAAAAAATTAGCCTAAACCGATCCTTGACAAGTGAAATAAAAACAAAAATTATCATTTATAATTAAATTTCATCTGATTTTTTTGTTTTTGTCTCTGAATAGGAATCTATCCTTATAAAATATTGGTAAAAATTTTAAATTATAGAAGTATTTTATGTTCTTTTAATAACGAACTTTGAAAAGAGTTATAACTTCTAGAAACAGCAATAAAAATAGACTAGGAAAACCGTTTAAGTATACACAAACATCTTAATTGACCACATGTTTTAACTTTTACGTCAAAGTCAGCTTGTTACTAGCTAGGTACGCTGAATTATTTTCGCAAATCCCCGTCAGGCCATAGTGAAAAAAATAAAGAAAAATTATTTTTTTATCATAAAACAAACACAGAAATATACCCTTTTAAAGTTTACATAGTTTTAAAGTGATTCACCCTTATAACTTTTTATTGTTCGGGCAAAAAAAAACGAAATTTGGTATGTCAGTATATGAAGGATTGATTGATTGATCCGTATTCAATTGTTTTTGGTCACTTCCTGTTTCACCGGAAATCACTACAACTTTTGATTTTTAAATGGTACCATCGGTATTTTTTTACTTTACTTGATAGAAAATGACTTTCTGAATAGAATGACATATCAAATGTCAAATTTTGACATTTCCGCTTAAAAAATAGAAATTTAAATTTCAATCTAGAGTACTGTGGTTGTGTTCATAAGAACAATTTGCCTGGAAATATGAGGTATGTAATACCAAATTATTCGTTAAAAAATGCTTTCTCTAAATATTCTAATAAGCCACCATCCTTCCATTTGAAAAAAAAAATGAGTTATAATTAAAAATATGATTTGGGCATCTTTTAACCGGCCAGGATAACACACGAAAAACATTAGACTATCAAATGTATTTTTCTAAGGCTCCTTGATTAAAAATGAGTGATTTTGACACAGCCATGACACTCATCTAGATTGAAATTTAAAATACTATTTTTTAAGCGAAAATGTCTATAACTAACTGTTATTATTATGATTAATAAATAAAAAGTATCCGGAATGTTCATATTATTTTTCGTTTTCGGAAAAATTAAGTGATTTCAAGTGAAAAAAAACTAAAATA